GAGATAGAGACAGAGATAGAGATAAACAAGTGTAGCCATATTTACCAGATATATACAGGTAGGTAATGCCTTGCAATCTGTTTGGATTTCGGTGCCGTACATGAAGGAGCAAACATACATTTCACCTCAGAGCACACAGAAAGAAGAGATGTATGGCCTGCAGAGTTTTGGTTCTGCTTTTACCCCAGCTAAGCCAAAATGGAGTTTTTGCGGCAATGTGCTGTTAGGCAGGGGCAGGAACAATATGGGCAGGGAACAGGAATGCCTGCAAGACACTGGGCTTTTGGGATACTCTTTCTTCAGAGCTGTGCCAGTTCAGTCATTAATTGAGAATGAATAACAACAAAGTACCTCCCTGAATCAATGTTTGTAGGAACAGAGCCCAGGGTCAGAAGAGTTTTTCCCTTGAAGAAAGCCAGAGTCTGTGAAAATGAACAAGGGAAAGACTTGGAAACTGTTAGCTATTTCCTGAAGGCTTTTCCCATTCCTTCTCATGCAAGTCAACACGTTTTTTGCCTGGATGAGAGTGGGTATTCCTTTGTTTTTTCAGAAGTGCTGGAGATACCTTATTTTCCTTTTGTGGGAAGGTTCCAGACAGACCCTGTGAAGTTTCTCCATTTCTTGGCCTGAAAGAACTGAAATATGGTCACTCGTGTGAGCTGCAAAAGCCATCTGCTTGGGTTTGTTTTCAGAGGAGGCTTGAGGCAGACATCCCACAACAACGGGAGAAAAGGAACGAGTCTTCTCAATGTCTGTTGGCACTGGGCTGCCATTGAGACAGTTGTTTCTGAAATTCCTCCTTACTTGTGTTGCTAATTATATTTTAGGGAAAGTGAATGCAGGTCCTCAACATCTGTGTGTGTGCATGTGTTGTTACATCCGTCTGTCCAGAACAGCTGGGTACCTCAAGCAATCCTGCTGATACTGGCTGATCCATGCTGAAATCTCCTTTCTGATTGATTTGAAGTAGGAGTAGCTGACCTCAGTCTATGCTGAGCTGTTGATCTAGATGTTATCATTTGTTATCAGCAGGATTTTGGTCAAAGTCTGTGATGAGCTGCATGACCTGCATTCCCAGATTTTTCTTCTGTGGATGGCAGGAAAAAGAGCAGGTTATTGACAGAAACTTGCCTGGAATATGGCCAAAATGCACATCTGGATCCATATCCCCCCAGCTTAAACCACCTCAATTTCTCATTCCCAGTTCCCTAAATATTTGATCTTCCTCTCTGGTCTGGTGAATATTTAATTGTGTGTACAAAGTCAAACAGCACCAACAAGAGAGATTTGGAGCCACTCTCCCTCATCACAGCACACGGCTGTGTAATGACTGATGGAGACTTCAGAGACATGTTAAGCCTCTGCTCTGACTTGAATGGCAGGAAGGTTTAAGCTTGGGCTTTCTCTACACCTCTGTTGTAGGGTCCAAGCAAAGGGAGATATTTTCTTGGTCTTACCTTGGGCTTTCAGTCCCATTAGCTGCAGTCTGGCTGGTTTTGATGGCTGTGTCTATGTTTCTGAGCCGGGAACTGAACCTGACCTCCCAGGAAATAGGCTTGTTTGGAGCCCACTATTCCCTTGGATAGTAGATTTGGCTTGGAGAGAGATGGTTGGAGGGACAAAAGCAGAGCTGGGAACTGAGCAGTATTGCTGGGGTCCAAGACGTCTGCTCCTTCCTAGTCCTAGGAAGGCCTAGAAATGTACCTAGGGTGTCCAACTTCCCCCAGGCCTCATACAAACAGAGCCTGGTGTCTTGGCCGAGGACTGAGGATTCACTAGGCAGCATTGGGATGAGGAGGAGCAGGGCATTGCAATGTTATCATGGTCTGGCGTGCTTGTTCCCTGGTGACTGGCCCTGGTACTGTCTTAGTTAATACTAGACTCAAACACATCTGTGTTCCAGGGTCCTCTTATTCTTGACAAAGCAAGGGAATAGATTTCATATAAAAGTACAATGCCATTCAGTAATGAGCTGAAACGATTTGCTTGCACCACGCTGGTCACTATAAATAAAGGAATGTGTCTCTTTGAAATGTACCATAACTCTGTTTTCTCAAGTGCTTCTTTTCTGACACTTCAAACAAAAGGCTCAAAATGGGGAGAACAGGATCAAACTTAGTGTCTCATGTTTCTTACCTCTTCACTAGCAGAAAACGTATTTTCAAAAGCAAGCCAAGGCCACATCAAAAATGTATCATCCCATGCCCATTTCTGCTTAATGAGGCATCTTCATGTACATCAGTTAGCACAAACACTTAATCATCCATCCTTTTACTAACCAGTCAACCACAAAAATATAACTGACATTTAAATGGTGCAGGAGGAAACACCAGGCTGGAGACAGGGCCAGTAATTCCACAGTGTAATAAGAAGACTCTCAAATATCATGTGAATTAATTGAGGCTGAACTGGAAGATACAGGTTTTGCTAAGGTTAATAACAGCTGACAGCTTGACCTATTCTTGCAGTTTATGATACCAGCATCAGTCCTAGGCTCTCCTTGTCTCTTCTCTCTGTCTAGAGCTTAATGATGGTGATGACAACATTGAGTGTTTATGGGTAAGAATCAGGGGAAAAGCCAACAAGGCAGATATCATGGTGGGAGTCTGTCATAAGCCACCCAGCCAGGATAACGAGGCAGAAGAAATATTATATAAGTAGCTGGAAGAAATCTCACAATTGCTAGCCCTTGTTCTCATAGGGAGACTTCAACTTACCAGCTCTCTGCTGGAAACACAGCACAGCAAAGGAGAAATGGTTTAGGAGGTTCCTGGTGTGTGTGTAAGATAACTTCCTGAGGCAGGTGGTGAGTGAGCTACACTAGAGAAGGTGTCCTCCTGGACCTGTTTTTGTGAACAGAGAGGGACTTGTCGGTGATGCGATGGCTGGAGGCTGTCTTGGGCATAGCCATCATGAAATGATAGAGTTTTTAAGTGCCAAACCCAGAAAATTATGATGAATTGAACTGGTGGCTATTCTCAAGTGGTGTTCCCCAGGGCTCAGTACTGGGACCAGTTCTGTTTGGTATCTTTATCAATGATCTGGATAAAGGTATTGAGTGCACCTTCAGTAAGTCTGTGGATGACACCAGGTTGGCTGGGAGTATTGATCTGCTGGAGGGTAGGAAGGCTTTGCAGAGGGATCTGGACAGACTGGATCAATTGGCTGTGGCTAATGGCATGAGATACAACAAGGCAAAGTGCCAAGTCCTGCATTTGGACCACAACAACCCCATGCAACACTACAGGCTGAGAAAGAGCAGCTGGAGAAGGACCTGGGGGTGCTGATTGACAGCTGAACATGAGCCAGCTTGTGCCCAGGTGACCAAGACCAACAGCATCCTGCCCTGTATCAGCAATAGTGTGTCCAACAGGCCCAGGGCAGTGATCATCCGCCTGTACTGAGCACTGGTGAGGTTGCATCTTGAATCCTGTGTTCAGTTCTGGGCCCCTCCTTATGAGAGACACAGAGGTGTTGGTGTCCAAAGAAGAGCAGTGAAGCTGGTGAAGGGTCTGGAGAACAAGTCTGATGGGGAATGGCTGAGGGACCTGGGGCTGTTTAGTCTAGAGACTCGGGGGAGATCTTATCACTTTCTATGACTACTTTAAAGGAGGTTGTAGCAACGTCAGTGTTGGCCTCTTGTCCCCAGTAATAAGCAATAGAACAAGAGGAAATGGCCTCAAGTTGTTCCAGTGGAAGTTTAGGTTGGAAATTAGAAAAAAATTCTTCGCTGAAAGGATTATCAGGCACTGAACAGTACAATCATTCCTAGAGGTACTTAAAAGACAATGTAGATGTGGCACTTCAGGACATGGTTTAGTAGTGCACTTGGCTGTGCTATGTTAATGGTTGGATTTAATGATCTTAAGGGTCCTTTTCAACCTAATGATTCTATGATTCTATAATTCTAAATGCCCAGTGCTGGATTTAGCCTCTGCACAGGGTTGAGAGGTCCCAGTTTTTGCAGGTTGCCCCCCAGTCCCAGCAGGCTCCCCAGGGTCCCTCACTCGTGCTGTGGGAAGCACAGGGTGAATGCTGACTGTGGTGCTAATGGGGTGTGAGTGTGTAATGAGGTTTGTCATGTGGATATTATAGCTTGTGAATGTGTTTACCAGCTGCTTCCATGACCGGGAGTTAGATTCTGTCTACAGGGGTCCATTAGGAGACTTTTCATACTGTATTTATTCTTGGGGAAAAGACATTGAAACAACATGACCCGAAACTGACTAACAAACCTCAAAACTGCAGAGTTAATTATCACAGGGAAAACGCACTCTCTGCTCAGTGCCTGCCTGGTAACAACACTTTCTTGCTCTTCTGTTTATTTTAATCTTAATGTTTCCATGCAGGTAGCATAAGGCCACGGGCAAAAGCATTTCACAAGTACCCACTGACTCCAGATGCACCAGGTCTCTGTGGATTTCACAGTTGTTATCACTGACTGTTACCACCTTGCAGCTTAATGAGACTCCAGCAAGAGCAGCTTGTAGTCTCAGGTGATATGTGTGATTGCAATACAGTTTTTAAGGCCACATCCTGAGCTGTGGATAGGGTTGAAGGCACACATCAATTCTGTGAGGTGGAACCTTAAAGTGATCCTTATGGCCATGGCATCTGTAGGAGCCACCAGACAGTCTGACTGGAGAGGAAGGGGCAGGTTGAGGGTAACATCTCATATGGACACCATTCCTCTTTAATGCTAGGGTTGGCCATCTTCATCTAGGACAAGATGTGCACCAGGATAACCGTACAAAGTAGTATCAGAGCTCCAAAGCTGAAGCAGAAATAGGCTTTTGGTCCTAAAATGGACCTGAGCATAGTCATAGGAGGCTGATTACATAGGGAAAATGCTGATGTAGGGGATCTCATCTGTTTGGGTTGTAGTTTCCAAAACACAGTAACAACTACAGTTAATAGGATCAGCAGCGGTGTTGGGAAGACGTGGAAAGCGCGGGTACTATGAGTGGGATTCATTATACCACTCACTGGATGGCAGTCTGAGATTCTCCTCACCATCCATGGAGAGCAAGGTTCTTTGGCTGACCTTATCTTAGGACGTGATGGCTTTCCCTCTGGAGCTACCTCTTTCTCCTTCTCAATTAGAAAAATATCCTGGAAACAACTTGCTCTGGTCTGGACTATGTTTCCCATAAATGTCTAAGTGAGACCAGATGATTCTTACTACCCATGTGGCAAGGAAACATGCAAAATAAGCTACAAATAAGAGCAATGGATGCGAGACCTTGGCTTGTACTAGTTAATCCTCCCATGGAGCTGATCTTGGCTTTCCAAATTGCAGCAGAAATGCAACTGGTAAACAGCTGCAGTGATTTTTCTTTAGTACTTTGCACCAGGTTGTACTGAGCAACAGCAACATGCTGATGTTAAGGGATATTGTGAGTGATTTCTAGAGATATTTTTTACTCTTGAAGAGCAGTAGGGAGACGGTTTAATCCCTCTCCGATAATTACTTGATTCCTCCACTTGTATACAAAACTTGAGTTGGCTTTCTTCTCTTTGAGCATGTTCTCCCTGTAGTCTGCATCATGAAAATACAAAGGCAGTAGTACAGGTCTTCATGTTTTTGCTGTCCTGCCTCTTTTCTTAATACTTTCAGCACTATTTCAGCTTCATGTTTGCCCCTGCATTCTTACTCTGATCTGGGACGTCTACCAGCTGCTTACAACCATATCCTGATGCCATCTGGGATGCCTAGGCTGCAGCAATAGGATGACATTCATAATACTGGACTTCTGTTTTTGCCTTTTTGAGGGAGATGAAAGCACTAAGCAACTTCTCTGTGAGCTCTCAGGTTCTTGCAGGAACATGCTACTAACAGGCTGACTCCCAAAAGCAAAGATCTTTTCCTGCTCCCATGGATTGCTATGAGATGTGTGTGCACCCTACACTTCAGATTAACAAAGTAGGTATTTGCTTGCATCCTCTGTGCCCACATGAGAAGAGCTGATTCCAGAAATCAGCCTCTTACAAGTCTCAACTGTGTACTGGTGGCTCCTGCAATCGCATCAGGCTTTGCATTTATTACGGGCTAAGAGAATAGTTGTATTTTAGTCAGTCTCTCTACAAACCTGAAGAAAAACAAATTTGAACGTCTCCTCCCGATGTTACCAATTGGTCTTATTGTACAGTGGTTTTGTCAGCAAGATATTTAAGACCTTAATCCCTTTCAGCTATTAGAGGGAAGTCTAAGGCGGTGTGAGACTGGAAACATGAGTGATTTTCACTTGGATTTTCGTCTTTTCTCTAGTGCTGTAACCTGACAATGGTGTTTCACAATGTGCTATTCCATTCACTGCAGCCTGCTTGAAATGAGGAAGGTGGAGGAGTAAGAAGAAAAGACTCCTTTAAGCCCATAGAGAAGCATTGGTGGCTGTAAGAGCTATTTAAAGAAGTAAAGCCACTTTAGCTTGTTGATCTATTTCTGCACTGTAATTTATGCTGCCATTCACGCAGTGTCAGAAAGCTATTGTAAACCGTTGTATAAACCCACCCTGTAGGCTTGAGGGGCTCTAGTCCATGGGTCTACCATCACTAGCATACTGGTGATAGGATAATAGCAGGTTTCACTCCTAAAAGTTCTTTATTTTGGGGGGGTGGTGGTGGGGGGTGTTAATGTACAAGAGTAAGAATTTTAATGAGTCCCAATAGACCACCCACTTAGCTATTAGCAATAGGCAAGCTACAGCGTATGCATCCTGGTAGAGGTGAGTTTTGAGGAGAGATGTGAAATACAAGTTAGGAGCTTTCACAAATGATTTGTGGAAGGCACTCCATGAAATACCACAGCATTGAGATATCGCAGAAGAAAGCCCAGGCTGGGAAATTGCTTTGGAGTAGCAGCTGGGGGAAAGATAGCATTTCTTTGAGCACTGCTACTCTCATGAGAAGGGAAACTAGACTAAAGATGTTTCAGGAGGATAATGTGTGCTGTGAGCAACAGGGGAATATACAGGACAATGGCATAAAGGAAAGATGCTGAGGACAAGGATCCATCTCAATTAACATTAAACATTTAGTCATCTTGGCTGTTTGTGGTCAGTGGAGTATGATACTTTGAAGGCATGATTCATCTGACCTGTTTTGGGCTCTAACCTACCTAGGATGAGGGTAATTACCCTTTAGACACGCCTGTTTCTTCCTACTGATTCCGAGGGGATCTTCAGACACATAGAACAGGTACAGACCTCTGTAATTTAGACATGCCAAAGGAGGTGATACAAATCCTCCTTTGCACGTGTATTGGAACTGTGAGTGTATGCATGGTGCATGGCCACACAGCATCACCCAAATCTGGGACAGCATCCAGTCACCATCCATCCTTGTCTCTGGGAGAGACAAGGAACCAGAAAGACAGAGGATGGAAACCAAGAAAGGAAGAGGTGGGGAAGAGGACAGGAAGATTTGCTTCAGCCATGTTATGCTTCAGCTTCTACCGAAAGCAGCTGTAAGTAGTATGGGAGGCATAGGCTGAGCAGAATAACACAAGGAAATAGAAACCAAAAAATGAGTTTTAAAACATTTTGCTAGGATGTGAGCTTCTTCATGAGCAACTGATATTATTATAACTATCAACCAAAACAAGAATAACGACATTTTCTCATTACTGTTTTTTTCTGAAATTGCATTCCAAAATCTTTATGGACAATCTTAAATTTGCTGAAATATATATTTTACATTGAAAATCAGGGGGTTTTGCATGGGCAAAAAATAAAAAAGGAGGCTTTTGTGATGACTGCAGCACAAATTTCTGCGAATGATTCTTTAAGCTGCATTGCCAGAAATGTCATGAATCTGCTCAGAACTCCAAGGAAGGGAAGTGGTTTGAAATTCCTAACAGTGCTTTTTCAGCCAGAATAGCCATTTTGGGTGTATTTCACATGAAGCACAGCTTCAGGGCTTGATATGTCTTCATTCTGGGCCCTGTATTGTGCCAAGTAAATTCTCAGTGTTTTAACAAATAATAATAGAAGTAAGCTGTGTAAGCATATGTGAATCTTCAGTTTATAATTTTATGTGTAGAAAAATGATCTCATAGGCGTATAGGAAATAGAGCAGATGGTAAAATGCATGTTGGACTAAACTCATGTTGGAGACTAAGTCTTATGGACAATAAAAGCACAAAATCTGGACAATCCCCTCCGGCCATGCACATGAAGTACCCTTTGCGAACAGACAGATCAAAACAGATTAAGAGGCCACCTTTGATCTGTTGTTTACTCCTGTTACTGGAAGTTGTGGTACTGTGATCTGTCATTCCCTATGTAGACATTCAATGGTGTTTGTGCTAGAAGAGCCCTCAGCTGGGTTACTGTGAGGTGGGTACCCAGCAACGTTATTCTGATTTTGAACAGTGGAATTGCACCCATTTCAGAGTTGTTTCATCTGCTGTGAAACTGGCTTAAGAAGGTGGCTCTGGATAAGGTTTTGTGGCTGAATCCTGTTTTTTTTCTCCTCCAGACATCCTTCTTGATGGAGATGGATGAATCCTAGTCCATATTCCTGTTTCAGAGATGGGTTTCTCTCAGTGACTAGGGACAAGGACATCCCTGGACAAATGCAAGGTGAGAAAATCAGGCATAACCATGGCCTGCCTGAGTGCAAAACTGCTACCAGAGGAGGAAAACTGAGAAATGGAGTCATGCCAGACTGTAGGGAAGTTTTTCTCTGTATACTAGCAAAACAAAGACCAGCAGAACATTACAACAATGCACACAAACAAAAACTCTTCACAAGATATTCCTTGCCAGAAAGTTTGTAGGTAAACAAAACCTGCACATCCCAGGTCTGTTAAAAGACTAAGCTGAGCTGAAAGATTCCTTCAGTTATATCAGTGCAAATATTATGGGCGTAAATGTGGCCAGTTAGTAGCCCTTCATTGATGTGCTGTATTAGATTCATGCCTGCCTCAGGAAAAAATTATCTTCTGCTGTCATGTCAGTTTTTATTCTCCTTTCTTTTTGCTACAGGATGCCTGATGGGCTATTCTGGACTGTTAAATACAAGTCATTACTGTGCTCTATTAAATATGCTTCTCTACATTGGGCAGATCATGTGCTTCAAAGACCAAAGGCACTCATGTCTATCCATTGGCAGCTTCCGTTTTCATCAATGGTAGTGGCTTTGGAGCAGCTATCTAAGATTTAATGTCAGAATTTAGTGAGGAAAATGCTAGAGGAAAATTCATTTTGCTTCACTTTCAAAGTCATATCCATTTATTTTTTTTTTTTTTTGCTTTTATTGTTGGTAATAGATTTTCTTCTGTAGTAATGATGGTATAAAGTAATTATAGTACAGGGAAGACCATTTGAAAATGGGAGAATTGGCGATGAAAAATTTGTATTGGGATGCTGAAATCTCAATGCTGAGATGCATTGAAGTAATGAGATCTAGGGCTTGGGTGGTTGGTTTTGAATTGTGGTTTGTTTTGAGCTTCTGTTTGTTTGCTTGTTGGGTGTTTTTTTTTAAGATCAGTTTATCTGTTAGGCTAATATGTTAGTTTAAAGCACAGAACCCTGGAATAAAGGGTCTAGATCCTGTCTCTTCCATTCAGCCAAGTGCATACCTTGGAGAAATGTCTTTGCACCCGTATTTTCTCAAAGGTAAACCAGAGACAACCATGTGTGCTTACGTTATAGCGTTGTTCAGATCACATTATTTATAACCTGCACCATATAAGAGCACATCTCACTCCCTGTTTAAATTACACCAGTATCAGAAATTGCAACTTGCTCTCAAGTAAGCTACGCAGAGGTTTTCACTGGTGGAAGCCAGTAGGAAGTAGGGACAGAGGGAGGAGGTGGGAGGTACTGATTGAGCAGAAACTGTCTGTGATCTCTGGAGCTTGCTTTACTGATATCTGGAGGGGGATTTTCCTAATAGAAAACCTGTGAGCTATATGAGGAGGATAATCCACTTGACCCTTGCCCTCTGTTAAGCCTTCAAGCCATCATGACATTTCATTTCTCACCAGCTGCAAGGCCACTTATTGGAATTCATTTTGATTGCAATGCAAAGCCAACATTTCTCAGCCCAGGAGGAAGACCAGAAGGGGGATGTCGGAGCAGGGCACGTGAGCAGGGACATAGTGATCATATTTGGAGAGGGTGAGAGCTGGTGGCAGCGAGGAAGATAAACAGGGTGTGTTTGTGCAAGTGACCTTATTTATATCAGCATGCCAAGGAAGGACCAAATGTACTGCACTGAAGGAAGTGAGTCCACACGCATATGGGAGCGGGTCCAGCACTACGTGGTTGGCACAAGCCCAGGAGCTGCTTTGCAGAGTGGCAGCTTGGGGTTTCCAGGGCAGCTGCCATCCTCAGTGCTGGGGTTTTGGAGCTCTGTGCACTGCAGGCTGTGCTGCAATGTGCTGCGTGACTATCAAGCACTGGTGGGAAGGGCGTTCTGCTCTGGCACCCACCACCCCTCCGGCAGGACCCACAGCCTCCACAGTGCTAAATAGACCCCTGAGAACAATGCAGTCAAAATCCTAATCTGTTAGTTCAACATTTGGCTGCTGAAAGGCTCATGGACCAATCTGGCATTATTATTTTTTAATACTGTATTTTGTTATTCTCTGAATATTTTGGGTGGATAGTTACCCAGCGTGTACTGTATATTGCAGAATCCAGGAATATTTGCTTTGGCTTTTCTTCCTTGTTAGTTAGGGTGTGCGGTTGCTTGCCTAGATCTCATGGCATTGTTTCTGACTACGTAAATGAAATTTTTATACAAGCAAATAATGAATACAGACCAGAGAATAAGGCACATCCTGTGGCAATTTCACACAGGCAATTTTTCTTGCTAAAAACCATAAGGGGATCAGCAGTTGTGATTATTCACACATGTCCTTAATGACTGTCCACATATCACTGATACAGGATAACAGGCACCTAATAACCAGAGCTGACCAAGTTTGGTGGGTGCCTTGAATCACCTCTCTTTTTGTTTGTGTTTCCGTTCCCTCTCCTCCTTTCTGTTTGACTACAGAGGCACTCCTAAGGAGGAGAAAGAAAACCTTCATTTGAAACCGCAGGAAACCAAAGGCTGGGTGTAACCAGCAGCTTCAAATCCAGACAAGAGTCAGCGTGTAACTTCATGTGCTACTGTTTTCATCGTTTAGCATATCACATGGATGGGTGGCACTGTAAATGCACAGAGGATCACTGTCAGAGGTATGGTAATGTGTGTACACACATGCACACCTATCAGCATACGCTTACTTTACACTGCAGCTGGTTCAGCTGTGGTGCCAGCAGCAGCCCAGCTGTGGTGAAGAAAACTCAGCCTGAATGTTTCCTCAGCTCCCCAGATGGGCTTTGCCCTCTGTGCCAAGACACAGTTTGTCACAGCTCAAATGGCACTTGAGCTGCCTGTTTTAAAGAGTTTATCCACATTATGGATGGGGCTTTGAGCAACCCGATCTAGTGGAAGGTGTCCTTGCCCATGGCAGGGGGGTTGGAACTGGATGGCCTTTAAGATCCCTTCCCATCCAAACCATTCTATGATTCTCAAATCATTTGGCAGTCAGAAAAATTAAACCCCTCCCCAAAGCTAAAAATTCAGCTTTTTCCAACTATTTGAATAAGATTTTGTGAGTGTGTTAACACATTCATAACTTCAAGAGATCAGACCCTCAGCATTAAGTGTCACAAATGTTATGTCCAAGCTCCATGTGTGATCATGATACTCACACAGCATCTGTTACTAAAGAGTTAGCAATCCATTACATCTCATCCCATAAACAGATCGCTGGCAAATCTTCCTGATGATCTTTTAAAAGTAAAAATGATCAAATATAAGAAGAAATATTTTGTATGCCTCTAGAAAATAATCTTGGTAAAACACGGAGAAACACAAATTCCACTGATGTGAGATTTTACCATTTGCAGGTGCTTTCACTGCCTGTGCAGATCCAGACCTAAACTTGGGGATGCGATGGGGTCATGCTGTGAGAGGACATGGGTGGAGGTGAGGAGGTGGGGATGGATGTACTTTGCAAGTCACCAAACTCACTGCCTGTGAGAAAGTGGAAAACCTTTTCTGACAAAGAGATTTCCATGGGGTTTGAAGGCAAGGTGCAGCTCTGCTGGCCGTCCATGTGTTAAGGGACCTCTGATAGGAGAATATCTCCTGCTGTGATCCCACCTAATCTTGGGAAGCAATACAAGCCAGCTGTGGTGATGCCTCCGCAAGGTGCCTTACCAGCCAATATGCTCCCTTTCCAACACTGTACCCCATATCTGAGATTAGGGAAGACTGATGTTGGTGTAAGCCCCAACATGTCACAAGCTGCCAGTTCCTCAGAAGCCCCTGTTCTGAATGGTGGTTAAAAATACAGCCCCATATTCCATGTAATGCCTAATCTTGATTAAAATGCTTCCAGGGCTGGGCAGCCCGGGCTGCATCCTTTGGTCAATGCTGTCAGTGGCTCTTGCATTCCCTAATCCCTGTTAATATCACTGCTTGTCAAGGCAGATTTGTGTCTTTCCTGGAAGACGGCTGCCTATTTAGTACCAACTGGGGGAGAAAGAGACGCCTTATCAGCCGGTGCTGGGAACAGCAAGTGGCAGACAAGAAAGGCATCCTGTTTTCCGGGGAGAAGGCTCAGGAGGTGAGTGAGCGTCTGGCTCCTACTGTTAACTCTGGCTGTGAGCATGGCTCCTGCCCTGTCAGGACAAGACGTAATCCTCTGTTCTAACCATGCACAACCCATGAACCTCTCGTGGCAGTGATTGTGGCAGAGGCACAAGCTTTTGTATCCTGGCCGAACTGGAGAACAGATGATGCTCTGTTGACCTATATTCCCCTAAGTCATTTTCAGTTAGTGCAGTGGTTACCCCTTCTGTTTGCACAGATGCCACAATGCTAAGCTGAGACTGAAGTGTCCATGCTGTCTAGGGGAATTTTGCTGGCTCCTCTGAGGAGACAGGGAAACACCTCCCTAATACAAACCCCATGTATTCTCATGTGCACTTGGAATGCCTGTCCAATTTCTACAGGGAAGCATGAGACCTGCTCTGGGTTATGGAGGGAGGAATCTGGTCCCCAGCCTTCCTGTCTTTTGGTTGATTCCCTGGGGGTAGGAAACCAAAGCCAGCCTCTGGGGGGGTTCACTTGGGGCCACCTGACCAGATAGCACAGACAGCTCTCTGTGACCTGCCAGGACTGCAGAAATTCAAGCTGGCTTCTGGCTGAAGAAACAAAGGATTGGCAGAGGCAGTAGGAGGAAGACCTACAAAGGGGAGCAAGGGAGGGTGTTGTGACTGGGGACTGAAGCTTCTGTGAAAGGTTGGCCACCCTTCCCCACGCCTCAGCAGCTGGGAGAAGAGAGGGAGACCTGATGTTTTGGAAAGGAATAGAGAATGTGCCTTCCTTCATGAGCAGGTTGGGAAAGGAGAAGGTGCCTTCATGGGGCAGGAATGAGGACTCACCCTGGCCTCCACTAGCCACATGCCAAGTGATTTGGGATTACTCACCCCCAGCTCAGTGCAGGGCTTGGAGTGCCTACCATGGCACACCAGGTGAGCCACAGCAGTGCTGATCCTCTGTGTGAAACAGCCCCAGAGGTCCTGGTGGGCAACATGGGCAGCAATGCTGAGTTAGGCAGAAGGCCACCAGCAGGCTGAGGGAGGTTATGTTCCCCTTCTCAGCACTGGTGAGGCACATCTGGAGTGCTGGGTCCAGTGCTAGCCTGCCCAGTGCAGGACAGACATGGACATACTGGAGTGAGTCCAGCAAAGGGCCATGAAGATGACAGGGGACTGAAGCATCTTTGGTATGAGGAGAGGCTGGGACTGTTCCTGGGAGGTTCAGTGTGATCTTGCCAATGTATATAAATACCTGATGGTATTGATATACAAACTGTCCCTCCTGCCAGTCTGGCTTTCCCGTGATTTGTATGCCCTTGCATCTGATGGTTGGGTTTCTTTTTCTGGCCTGTTTTTTTGGGTGGTTTTACGTTTGTTTTTTTTTTTTTTTTTCACATTTATCATACAATTTCAGATGCAAAACACTCATGTATGGGCCCGTCATCATGGAGTGAAGGTGCACAAAGTCCCAGTCTTCCTCTTCTAACTCCCGTTACTGTTTTATTCCTCTTCTGATGTGAAATGCAGGAGACTGATATCAGTTATTCCTTCAGCAAGTAGGGACATTGTATTTTTAAGTAAGAGAAATATATTGAGGCTAGTACCCATTGCTAATATCAGGGAATTGATCTATAGTACCAATTTATGTTCAACTTTAAAACAGTCCCATACAACTGCACAGCTATTATTCTAGCAAAGCTTTCCACATTATCTTCTTACTATGGGCTTATAAAATTCCCTGACACATGAAAGCACCTCTCTGTCTAGTCCTTGTCATTATGTTAAGATGAAACAGTTCTTAAAACTATCTTCTGCTGTGAAATTCCTCTGGGTATAAAAATCAAAAAGTTGTTTTGATTGAAGTTGAAATCATGCGATTGAAAACACAAACTATCTTACCTGGGTTTTCTTCATCCTTTCTTTTCCCGCTTTTGTTGAAGACTTAAAGGAATAAGTATTTTGTTCCCTCAAAACCCTGTTCCCAGGGTTTTGTTTCCTCCTTTTGCCATATTTTCCTTCAATTTTGAAAAGGTTGGAGAGAAATTTTACTCTACCTCGTCCTTAGGCATTAGTCCTTTCTCCTGTTTGTGTGGAAGTTACGTAGATAACCTGGGGAGAAAACAAACTTTAGTTTTGAAAGAAGAATTTGAGAAGAAAATCTGAAGTTTTGATTACATGAAATTAAAATCTATTTCTAGTTCAAAATTTCTCAGTTGCTCAAAATTAAAACCTTTCCAATAAACATTTGGTAAACGCCTCATTTTGTGGACAGGGACAACTTTCAACTGAATATCTTTGACAGTTCTAATTATATTTATTCTCTTTCTTCCTTTCTGGTAAATCAGTATTGTCAGACAGATGTAGTTATAAATGTTTCTGTCTTTTTCCATCTCACCAGAATCAGCACACTCCTGCAGGAAATTAAGAGAACCTCTGTTCATGAAATAACAGCATTTTGATTCATCCATATGAAAATAATTAATGCATTTTGATTCATTTACTGTGAGGGTGGTGAGGCACTGGCACAGGCTACCCAGAGAAGTGGTGAGTGCTATGTCCCTGGCAGTGTTGAAGGCCAGGTTGGACAGGGCTTCGGGTGACATGGCCTAGGGTGACACTACCCCTGCCCATGGTAGTGGGGTTAGAACTAGATGATCTTAAGGTCCTTTCCAACCCAAACCATTCTATGAGTCTATGATTCTATGCACAACTTCACTATTAGAGGATTGGTGCACAGATCAGGGCAGATCAGGGCTAAAGAAGATGCTGAGTTTCAGGAAGCCTGGGAGTAAAGATAATCCATCTGCAAAGATCCCAGGTCAAGGCACCATTTCCAGAGCTGAGGCTGAGGCCTGGAGGTGACAGGGGACTGACTGTGGACGAAGCAATCCCTTACCTGAGGCCTGCTGCAGGGAGGGGCAGAAGACACCATGACCAGCAGTGGCGATGCAGTGTTAGCTGGCTCGGAGAGTCGTGTCTCACCTGCCAGGGATGGCTCAGAGCTCCCTCCCTCCTACCCCCAAATCTCACCCACTTTCCTACAGCCATTAGGGTTTCTTTTTTCAGATCTCCCTCCCTGCGTACCTCCTTCTCCTGCCTGAATCTATGTCCTTTACACAGCATGGCTCGCAGCTCTCTTGTGCTACATCCCTGCATACTTCCCAGGATTCCATGTGCTGTAGTAGAAACGTCAAGAGCAAATCATGCCCTCTGACTTCTCATCCTTTGCAGCATCACCTGTGCATTCAAACTCCAGCTGGCTCACTTGTCCCTAGCTCAGTTTGAAGAAGCAGGTTAGGCATGGCTTGTGCAGAATTTCCCCTTGGGAGGAGTTTATGGCACAGAGAACTGCCCATGGAGCTAGCACAAGGACCTCTACATGACAACGGCCACTTCAGATAGACTATGGCTGTAACTTGCCTGTTTATCCTCTGCAAGACGTGCAAAGAGCCAACCTGACCAGGACCACTGGAGCAAGAAAACGGGGTTTGATGACAATTAATGCAGTGCACCCATTGGATTTAACTATTAACCTCCTCTGAACAAAATGCTGGGAGATCCAGACCTTCACCCAAACAGTCTCATGTCCATGTCCAAGGATCCTCAGATCTGTCCCAACACCAGCACCTTGCACGGGATGAACACGTTTTGCTGATGAGTCAGAGCAAAGACAAGGAGCTGGATCCCTGCCAGGATGATGGTTCACACACTTGCTTGATAAGGTACCCTTTGCTGGTCCTGGGTACCTTTCCTGGAAAGCAATGATTAACTGCTGGGTGAAGGACATGTTGTCTTGACTTCTCCCATTTCCATTTTCCTTTTAAGCAGAAAACTGTGTAGAGGCTGATGTCAGCGCTGCTGCAATGGTACTGTGAATCTGGGTGGGTGTTCTTGGCTTCGCTGCTGCCTCACAGGTGCATAGTGTTATCTGTCATGGAGCCAGGCTGGACCACACTGGAGCTCATGGAAGGCACTGAAACAAGCAGAACTTTCTCAGGCCTTAGTCACTATGCCATGAGCATGACACATCACTTCTGGGCCTTCATTCATGCCACACAACTGGAGGATGTGGGCTGCTTGTTTCTAAAGCACTTTGGTTCCAGGTACTGGTATTCACACAAGAGAAGCACAGTTAGGAGAGGCCTTTCCTTAAGACTGGCATCCTGAACAGAACATAGGCACAGGACCAGGCTTGCTCCCAGATACCAAGGGGCCATTCACATGCATTTGGATGTCTACATGTGTCTGATCTTCTGTGGCAGCTAATGAGCACCCAGGGCTTCGTTCAGCTGCACAAACATCATACCATCCACGATGGTCCTGAGCTTTTGAAATGGCTGGTGATAAGACCAAATCCAAGGGGCACCTGTGCCTGTGGCTGAATGGAGCCCTGGTCAGTTCTGGTGGACCTTTGCTAGGGTCATTGTAAGAGG